GCAGCCTGCCCCAGGGAATATCAACTCTGCTGCCTACTGTGTGGTATAACCTTGGGCAAGTTTCTTACTCTCTGTGTCCTCGTGTGTAACTTGGGGAGGGTAACGGTTTCCTTTTCAAAGTTGTTGTAACTATGAGTTAACACACACAGAGTTCTTAGAACAGTGATTATGGTCGTGTTATTTAATCTCTACCCAGAAGGTAAAGTTTCTTGTGTTATGTACTAGTCAGGATGTGCTAGGGCAGTGGTTCTCAACCTGTGGGTCACGACCCCTTTGGGGGTCGAACAACCCTTTCACAGGGGTCACCTAAGACCATCAGAAAACACATATATAATTACATATTGTTTTGTGATTCATCACTATGCTTTAATCATGTTCAATTTGTAACAATGAAATTGGGGGTCACCACAGCATGAAGAACTGTATTAAAGGGTCGCGGCATTAGGAAGGTTGAGAACCACTGTCTTATAAGAAGAGACACCAGAGAGCTTCTCTCTCTCTGTCTCTCTGTCTCTCTGTCTCTCTGCCTTGTGAGGACACGGAAAAGACAGCCATCTGCCACCTGAGCTCTCACAGAAACCCGTGGCACCTGATCCTGGACATCCCGCCTCCGGACTGTGAGGCGTGTCCTGTGAGTGAAGCCCGCCTGTGGCATCCGATGGCACCTGAGCTGAATGATTCCTCTGCGAGTCGGCACAGGCTCGGAGGGGCCAGGAGAGCGAGGCAGGGCCCCGCGGCGCTCAGAGCAGGAGGCCCCGCGGGCTCAGCCGTGAGAAATCGTGCCATGGGGCACCGAAACAGCCATTTCATGCTGTTTTATCACAGCAATTAGCATCCACATGGGAGGAAGAATGTTAAAGTCCAAGGTCCTTGACTTCAATTTAAAAACCTCAGTACTACACGTGCGTAGCTTAAAAGTCAGCCGTGTCACGCAGCTTACGATGACACGCTGTCCTCCGCCGCCCCGACTCCACCAGCTCACCACACACTCAACTCCTCAAGCTCATTCCATCTGCTATTTCTTGATTCACATTGTTTATGCATCTATTTTATCCTCCCTCGAAGACAGTGGTTCTCAACCTTCTGGCCCTTTACATACAGTTCCTCATGGTGTGACCCAACCATAAAATTATTTTCGTTGCTACTTGATCACTGTCATGCTGCTACTGTAATGAATCGTCATGTAAATATCTGATATGCAGGATGGTCTTCGGCGACCCCTGTGAAAGGGTCGTTCGACCGCCAAAGGGGTCGCGACCCACAGGTTCAGAACCGCTGATCTGAGGGAACACCTATAACACTCCCGAGGGCCTAC